AGTAGAAAGAGAAAACAGATTTCAAGAGGAAAAAGATTTCAGAAGTGCTATGTAGATTTTCTATTTTTTTTTAATCCCTCTTTTTATTTGCACTCTTCACAGAGCTGAGAGCACAACCAATGTGCTCAGCCCCAAGCGGCAGAACTAAAAGACCTGACTCATGAGTCAAGTCGCAGAAAGTGTTTGCAAGTAAAGACACTAATGTCTTACTTTGAGGTTAAATATGAATAAATATAATATCTACAGTATTCTAATGTTATGCTTTATATTATGTAGAAATTAGTATAACAAAATTTAAATAAAGCAGAATAACTGACCTTAAGATAAGCTTTGTAATTCATCTATGAGGAAAAAATCCTTCTGTTTTTCTTAAGCATTACTTAATAGTAATCTGGCTTTATATAACTCTTTATCAAAACAGGTCCTTGTTTCATAAACACACAGAGAATTTCTCTTTTATTTTATATGGAGAGCCAATAATTGGCCTTATTTAGTTTAGATGAAATAAATCATTTCATAGCCACTTCTCATTTAATAAGGTTGGCTACAGCCTGCCTTTTTTGTCCTCAGCTTGTATATTTTTGTTTTGAGAGAACATAAAAGCATATTTTCTTGCCTGCTGAGTGTTCATTAAAACTACTTCCAAATCTTCACAGCCATTACAGTCCTTGCTACACTCTGATCTTACTGGCATATTGATTTAACTGTGAAAACATTCTTTTCTTCAAATAAGAATAGTAAATATATTAACTGAAAGTTATGGAGCACAGCTCTTCATCTAAAAGCCTGAGCTACTTACATTCCTTATTCACTCCTCCTTTCCCCTTCCAGGAAAAAAAAAAAAAAAGAAAGAAAAAAAAAAAAAAAGAAAGAAAAAAAAAAAAAAAGAAAGAAAAAAAAAAAAAAGGAAAAAAAAAAAAAAGGAGTAATCCAAAAATGCAGAAAGCCAAAGCAAGTGGCTGACTGCAAAGAAACTGAAGGCAAATTTTGGCTGATCTGTTCCCTACCAAGCTCTGCAGAAGCAGCACAGCACAGGACAGAGGAGGAACCATCCCGAGAGCACAAGGTCTGGAGTAGCTCTTTGAGGCAATGCACCCCAGCACATGCTTTAGATCAAAGCTGCCACCTGACAGAGTGAGAGGTAAGGAGTCAAGAACTTCCAGCACCTGCGTCCATCCTGTTCTGCTGGTGCTCAAACCACCATCCACAAGTGGGTGTGGATAATATGATCTTCTCTATGTTCATTTTAGCCTTAAAAAAGGCTCTACTGAGTTTTGAGATGGATTTCCCATTTTGTCTCTCCTATATTGTCTCTCCTTTAAATTTGCTGTGAAAGTCAGTACTACCTGCGTGGGAGCAGCACACCTGTTTTTATTCCGAAACGTGATAATCCAGTTCTACTTGAATTGAAAAAATGGTATGGATGATCAAAGCAGCTCCTGGTAATGGCACAGGATAGGTAGACAAATGGGGAACTCCAAAGCTCTACTGGAAGCAAGGAACAAAAATATGTGATTAAACAAACAGAATTTTGAAGTTTTTGCTCAGACCTATGAAATACTGCCTTTGTTTAAACTATAATTAGATATTCTTCTTTTGAGATAGCAGTCTGAGTAAAATTACTGGTTTGCTTTCCAGTACACAAACTATCTGTATGAGAACGTTTTCCTCTAGTTAAGGTGACACATTGCACATAATACAGTAGATAACAGAACTATATTAAAAGCCTTCTTAAGCTCTTCATTACTGCACAATTCTGTAAATAACTTTTCTTTTTAATTAGCAGAGATTTTCTATGCATAAAAGCACTCAAATGAGGTAGGGACAGAGTAACGATGCTCTTTTTTTTTTTTTTTTTTTTTTACAGCAACAGTGAGCATAGATATTAGATCATGTTATTTTAAAATTCCAATTTTCAGAGAGTAGTTGTAACGACATTCAGCCAACACACTGACAAAAATATACAACTGATTAAAAGTACCCATTAGGGAAATACTGAGAACAGGATTGCAAACACTGCCTGTTTATCTATCTGTGTATCTGTCCTGGTGTACTACTAATTGCAGCGGTACTCTGTTGGAGCCCTGCTGGTTAAGGAATATAAGAAAACTGAAGTCACAGAAAAAAAGTGGCAGTTTATTATTGTTAGTAAATCAGATAAGGTAGTAAAAGATCTCTCTCCCTACCTTACTTCTGCTTCAACTGGGTTTTGCTCTTAACTTCTCAGAGGAAGACTTGAGAACAATTATGATAAAATTGCAGAAATCATAATTTTAATATCAGCTGGAATATTGAAGCACACACCACTGTAATAAATGTTAGGCTGTTGTCAAGAAAAAGCTAGATAAATGATACAATCCATTCTCCACATCACACTAAACTGTAATACAAAGATATAAGTTTTATTAGGTTTGTCCAGGCTGACAAATTACATGCTAATAGATGTAATCTTAATCACAGAAATAAGGGCAAGAAAATCATTCAGTTTAGTTAAGACACTATAATCATCAGTTACTCTTTCATTTGTCCTAAGTCACATTGTTATTTCAGTCACACACCTTATCATTCCCTGAAAACTTAACAACCTCTTTGCAACTCATCTTTTCCTTTTAAATTTAGTTTATTGTTGATGTCTCTCTGAAGAGTTTTGTGTTACTGTACATTAAGGCCATCCTATAAAAACACAATTTATTTTAGTACATTATAAAAGAATGCCAGTTATCCTGACACATCTGTGTTATCTGCACAGTCCCATGGGAAATACCAATGTAATAGTAGGGAATATGTTACAATTTATTTGGAAATATTTTTACAATTGCCAGGTGAGCCAGTAATTGCCCACATTAAAATGGTTATCTCAATGCTTTACCACCAAGCAGAAGATTACAATGTGCACACAGAATCTTAATAACTGTTATCAAATTTCTGTGCCAAATAATCTGATAACCAGCTAAATGAAACAAACAATGGAAAGGTAAGTGTTCATATTTGAGGTAAACCAGTAAATTAGTTTTCACTAGGAAATGACATTGTTAGAAGCTGTTTCTGAGATATTAAGTTAAATTACCTGATGTTGACCACGACTTTGTACTCAGGGGAGGCAGAAGCAATTTGTGCTATTAGCTGGGCTCGCTCAGACCCTGACTGTACTAACTGCAGAGTCAGGACTCCTCAAATTTAACCAGACTTCTCAAGGTGATAATGTAAATTGACATAATTTTCCAGTGAAGATTAGGCTTTAATGAGAGAGATCGAAGGAAGACAAGTGCCCCTTCAGGAGAGAAGGCAAGTGTCTGGGAACCTGGAGAGGATTTTTGTCTGGGAACCTGGAGAGATATCAACTTTGGGAAAAGTGGTGAGTGCAGAACAACTGAACACTGGAAGAGTTTGGCTTTCTCCACCCCATGCTGATCTGCCTTGCAGGGTTTTGTTCTCAGTCTCACTCTCTGAACTGAGCAGTGTTATTATGGCTCCCAGCTAAGAGGTAGGAAAATGTCTTAACTTACTCTATTCTTACCTGTTAACATAACATCCTTACGGGCTATGTGCGCTTAACTTTAAGAGGTAACATGTTCTGCCTAAGGTGTTACTGCCTGAACTGATACACACGGAGGATTCTAGCGTTATTTGTAGGACTGATTAAAAATTCTTAGACACATAAAGCTCTAATACAAGTATAAAACTAATAATCAAAAGAAAAAAAGGCTTTTTTTTTTTCCAGAAAGATTTCAGAAAATATAATTTTCTGTTCTTTTTACCTTGCAAGAAAACACCAAAGACGAAAAATAGTTTTAAAAATAAAATATGTAACACCTCAGGCTTCCCTGAGAATGTGAGCCTTGGTGGAAAACATCAGGTTATCTACATAGAATCAAAACTGAAGTTTTAACTTACTTTCTCCATCACATTCATATCCAATGGCCTCTGAAAAACAACATTCAAAATATCCTTTGGATACACGTCTTTAAGGGCTTTTTTTTTTTTTGGTTTGTGGGTTGGTTTTCTCTCTTTTTTCAGTCAACTATCATGAAACCTTAAGCTTTACCCAGCTCTAATTATTCTGTATATATTTGTATATATCTAGAGCTATGTTTGTATAGTCCTCCCTTTCTAGCCATATTGTTGCTCACAACTGGTCATGATCCTAAGGTTTGTAAATGGTAGAAATAAAAGTTGAGAAATAACATCCTTGTTATTATGATGTGTTGAACAAACAAAATGCATTCTTTTATATCTTTTATATTCTGTAAATGGACTATTATCTTGTCCTTCAATACTCAGATGGTTTCCCTTAGTAAAAAAAAATAATAATAATAATAGATAATTTTACAGCTGAATAACATTTGACCTTGGAAGTGCTCATTGAAATCAATGAGGCAAGTTGATTTTTTTGCAGCATCTATGCACTAAAAAGCCTCTTTTGGCAATTCCTAACATGAGACAGCAAAGCAACAGGAAACACCATTTTTTGAAGCATGAAAGAGCATGTCTATTCTTCAAGGCTTGTAGTTGCTTCTGTTTAAAGTACTAAATAAGTATTATACATTTTATCATAGCAGGACTCATGTAATAACCTTCCACAATACCTGCACTAAATACAGCAATGCAGTTCTCCTATGAGTTTCATCACAGCAGAGTATTCCTGGGAGTGTTTACAAAAGCATAGCATAAATGTGTTATAACAGACTAATATTATTGACCTCAAATTTGAAAAATTAAAAATCCAATGTCCAAAAACATTAAAGCATGGGCTAGAAGTACATCTTTTAAGCCTGATGCTGCCATCCCTAGGTTGATTTCTCCATGCCAGCTGCAGCCTCTGATACAGTTACTAAACTTGTATTAATTGTGATGACCCATTTCCATGGAATAAAACACTGTATAAAGGTGTGCTAGTGCAGGAAGTAGGCTTAACCATCAGACAGAAATTTTCCAGACACACTAATCTGAACAATGAATCTGCTTTAAGCTGTAAGAAAAGAAGCTATAAAAAAAATGTAAAACTCAAAACACTACAAGTGGAAAAACAAATAGCTAGTCCAAGTTAACTAATGATCCTTCACAAACTCATTTAATACAATGAATTTCAACAATCTCCTTCTTTATTCTTTCTTTGCTCAAACATGTCCTTTGTAGGCTTTCTTACATTTGTAGTTGTGAAGTGTTGTCCATTCACAACCATACAATTATCTTCAGCTCTGACATGAATGACACTCCAGATATTGGCTAGCTAAGGTCATTTATGGCAGCTCTCCTCCTGTCAAGGAGAAGGACAATTTATCTATCAGCAGCAATCTGCCTGAAGACAGAAGAAAATCCAAATGCTCAGGGATAAGAAGTCAGATACCCCTTCATCATCATACAAATGAGGTAATGCAGGACATCCATGAATTTTACTTGCACTGAAACAGGACTAGAACGTGAATATCTCACCATTTCACATCTTTATTAAGATGCAAAAATGCTTATCTTCAGAGTAAACAAACACACACTTGATGCCTACAAACTGAATTCCGCTATTCTGCTGTTGAAAAATACAGAGTTTTATAAAATGGAATGATTATCCCCAAATTATATAGATTACAAGTTAATTTTTGCTCCATATTATAGAGTGAATTCATTCAACCGAACAACTCACTAGAGCATAGATTTCAATTTCATTACTATTTTTCAAAACTAGGATTCAATTTTGCATTTTATATCACACTCAAAAAAAATAATTTTCTATGCAACTCAGTGGGATATTCATATGTGCTCAGAAACTAATGAGGTATGGGAAATAGATACAGTATCATAAAATGGAAATCACTAAATGAGAAAAAGGTTTTAAAAGGACCTCTCATAGTATAAAGAACAATTTCATCCCTGAATACAACTGCTGCTTTACTCTATCTCTGGTTTTCTGCCATCCCAAGCGGCCTGTTCATTTATGTAACTATTTTGTAAGTAACATTCTCCTGCTTTTACTGACTGAAAGAATCCTCTTCATTCAAAAGCTCTGTAAAAGAGTGTTGCAGAGAAAGCAGACGTTTACAAAGACATTTTAAAAAACACTGTCCTCTTTTTTTGTCTATATTAAATAATTATCTAAAATGCAACAAAAAGAGTAACAAAAAAAAAAAAAATACTGCATGCAGTAATGCTTATTGCTTTTGAGTATAGTTATAATCTTGTTCTGATCTTGTGGCCTGACTCACAGCCTGCTGAATGCCCTTTTCCATTGAGGTACTTTAGATCTAACCCGGCTAGTCAGTGCTTTCACACAGTTCTTAATGAAAATGGTACTTGACTAAAATTTATCCACCTCCAAATTGAATTTTGGCAATTGCACACAGCTCAAATTATTTGTAGAGGCTGTTTCAAAGGACAGGTAGTCTAGATTAACATTGCACTGGTGGAATGACAGCCTGTGATGCCGGCTTGGACACCAAAGCAAGGTGTGACCTTCCAACAAACCGCTAAGAGTTGCTGGAAAAGTGCTGCTGCTACAGCTGAATTAAAAATTCTCTTTAATTAAGTGCTACATGTTCACAGAAAGTTAGTGAAAGATGTCTCTAAGCGGAGTAAGAAAAATACATATTCATATTCTGATAAGGCAATCAAGATGTTGATGTTAATATTAGAGCAATAACTTTAATTGTATTTCAGCAAACGAATGGCAATTAGAAAACAAATTATCTCAGAGAAACATGTCTGCTGCACAGCTTTGCCCTGAAGGCAAGCCAAAAGCTAAACCTTTTTCTTGAATTTTAATGCAGGAGATAAATAGACACACCTCTGGAATTATTCTAAATAGAAATACCATGAACAGTTTAAAGTTACTCTGAGACATAAATGTAAAAATTGCCTTTCCTCTTCAAGTGGATTCTTTGTTGCCATAACAAGCACTAGCATGCTGAAGTAATTTTTTCTGTGCTTTAAGGATGAGGAAAATCTAACAGATGTTGGACAATCTAATTAAAGAGCATATGTGTACGGTAAATGCCTTCCACTAGGGTAAGATTTAGTGTATAAATATAATATTAATGTTTGAAGGTGAATCTTGTGCTACTTCTCAGTGCTTTACTGTTTATACGGAGATCAACCACGACCACATCCACTTTGTTTTTCTGACCAAGAAAAAAAAAGCAGCTCTTTCTGTTTCCTATCAGATGCTACCAGCTCTACTGAAATAGCTGTAAGGTTGCTCAAATCCTCCCGCACAGAATGACAAGGGTCAATCAGCACATGCGGCATGCGGCAGGGCTTTCATCAGTGCAGCACAGAGAAAATCTGGCTTAACATTTTGAGACGTATAGTCATCTTTTGTTATAAAGTTACCTCCTTGAAATAAAAATATATTCATGACTAATGTTTATAGCCATCAGTGTTCTTTCTCCCTGCTCCACTTGCCCAAGATGATAAACCTCTCCTGTCAGGAAGAAAGTCTGTTGTGATGATCCACTTTCCTCCAAGCTGTCAATCCGTTTGGTCTGTATGATTTGGCATTGATTGCATTCTGCTGAAAACGTGGTGGCATAAAATGCTTGGGCTTTGCTCAGCCCTCCACAGTTTCAACATACAGTTTAGAAAATTCATAAAATCCATCGGTCAAGCTTAAATGGTCTTAATGACGGTATAGCTGAGCACACTACAGGACATTGCAATTCTGACCATCAAATTAAACACAAACAGTAAAACGATGGCCTGCAACTTAGATCTTGATCTTGGAAATCTCATCACTCAGAGAGAAAAAACAATGAAAATTTCTCATTGCATTTGCAATGCAACAGTCCATCTTGGTTCTACAAAGCAATTAAGTACCTCATTAACTTTAAGCACCTGCTTAATTCCCATGATTTTGAAACCAGTGGGACTTAGAAAAATGCCTAGAGTAAAAAGCTTATTCCTGAATCTGGGCAAGAAAACATGGTTATTAGTACCTGCAAAAAAAGATTATGTCTGCTAACCTTATTATAGATTGCTAAATAAACCTTACAGTATTTAACTTCCTCTTTGTTACAAAAAAAAAAAAAAAAAAAAAATCAGACAATGAACCAAATATGTGAAGACATTTACCTGTATAACTTCAAATGACGTACCAAATAATATCTGATCTAACAGTCTTTTTGAAATTATATTAACTTACTTGACTGACAGCACTAGCAAGGTGTGTGTGGGTGGGAGAAATAGGAAGAAAGCAATGGGATTCTTCACAGCTTATGCTTAAGAGACTGATCATGATGCCTTTACTGAACATGCTACTCCTCCTTGTTGAGATGAGTTCTAAGGACTCCTGGATTTCTGTGGAAAAAAAAAAAAAAAAAAAGAGGTTTCTGTCATGAATGCTGAGATGAATAGGTCATGGTGGTAGCATTTTAAATACACCCACATATGACACGTCAGCCTCACAGTATCTGTGTTCACACTGAAGAAACATGCTGAAATAACGATGTATGCTGGGAAGATATAGCAGAGACTCTTCCAAAACACATCATTTAAAGCATGTGCTGAGAAGAGGGGAAGACAGGTTTGTTAAACATGAGTTGGAAGCTACTTTATGGCATTCTCTACCGAAGAGAGATGGAGGCATTAGAGTGAGCAAGAGCTACGAGGCATCCATATGAACTTCCAGCAATGACATATATACCACTTTGTCAAGAAGAAGTAGGGGAAAAGGTAAGAGGAACCAATACCTCCATACTATTGTCATGGCAGGAAAGAGCAGAAAATGAAACACAGAGTGCTACCTCCTGCAAAAACATTTTCTGATGATTGGTAGGTAACAGAAAGGTAAGCTTACTAAACCAGTCATTAACCACATTCACACTAACTGAAAATGAAAGGCTTTTATTTTTTTTTAACATGCAAAAATATATATATATAAAGAATAAATAAAAAATGTCCTCTCCACAAGCTGAATAGCCTCGAAGTACATATCTCAAAGTGCTCCTCCCTCTCTCATAAAAAGTAATTTTGATTGTCTAAACACCAATATTCTTTTGTACAACGTATCTCTGATCACAGAGCTTTTCTTCTTGCAAGCTATTTACTTTAACAGGTAATTATAGCATTTCTTGGCAACCCTTTTGACCTGAGCAGTGACCAAAAAAAATCCAATCTTACAGGTTGTTGTTGTCAGTAGGTAAAATAGTGGTGGAGTCAGGGACTTTTTATTACCATATTTATTAGCAACATATTAAGCGCTATTTGCCTGATATACATAAGTATTCATGAGCAGTATCTTTACCACATCTCTAAGTCTTTTACAGCCTTCCACAACTTCAGTTATAGGTATAAAATATGAAAAAATCTGAGTTATTATTTTTTACTATTATTATTACAATGATTTCACTTGAATGGTGGATTTCTGAATCTTATCACCAAAACTGACACATTTTTATGTCACACACCTTTTCAAACTGTAATTTTTAAACTGTTCTGCTTTTGCTTTTAAAATATAAATTGAATTTTTCCAGTAAATTTTTCAAGCAGTACTTTCTTTTAAAATGCTTTGTGAAAAAATAGCTTCTCAAATATCTGCATTTCTTTAACAAAACAGAAGAAAAGGTGCAGATGAAAATCTAAAGGCTACTGGATTAAAATTCATGAAGGGCAGTTTCTCCCTTCAGTGTCAGAAGTAATTGCATATACACTGAACATCACAGCCATTCCAGAAGTTGCTCAAACATATTAGAAGCAACCATTCAAATGCACTGCAATCTTTTACATCTGCTGGTATCTTTTTGCAACTTAGCCAGTGACTTTTGGTCCTTAAAAAAGTGCCTGAAGTGGCAACATGATTTAGATAACAATCTATATCAAAAATATTTTGTTGCTTCAAATGTTAGAAATGCATTAAGAAACATCTCCAATAAAAGCAGAGGGGAACACTAAATCTAATGATGTCTTGTGGAAACAGATCAACCAAAAATAAAGACCTTCTCTGAGTCCTAAGGCCCAAGTTGAATAGTAAAATGTTTTAAATATAAATAATATTTTTTACCTTGTTCAGCTTAATGAATTTTAAAATTTGACTTTGTAGTGCAAAAATCTATATTTACTGCATAGTGCATTAAAATTCAGAGGAAGCTTCCTCTGAAGAGCACACTTACCTTTTCTTTCCTTATTTTTAAAAACCTTCGAAAACAAATCCATCATATTTAGCACTTGTACATGGTACTCAACTGACAGGCCTAAATGTTATTGAGTGACAGAATTAGTACAAAATATACTGCAGCACTGCCTACTGCATCAATTTTAAATTCAAGGGGACCATTTCTAGTGTGGGAGGAAATGATATTTTTTTTTTCCCTTAGACAGGCCCATTTCTTTTGCTAGGTTTGACAACAAGCCTAACAGGACATGTCAAATACCTTGGGTTTACTTACACTGTGAGCAAGGGCTCTATTTTGTATGAATGATATATAAAAATTATACATCTAAGGCATGCACATACCCATATGTATATATGTTGCAATGCATAAACCCTGATTATGGCCAAGTCTCAGTGCAGGGTTGACCACTTTGAGGCAGGAGCTGATCCTACGTTTCTGAAAGCAGAAGGTAGTCCCTGACAATAGTTTATATGGTTATTTCTCAGCAAAGCGGATGAGAAGGCATCTCTAGCCTACCCATTTAAATTAGGTACTTTTTTCAACTTTAATTAAATTAAATGATCTTTAAGGAATTTACTACAAAGAGAACAAAAGTGAAGGGAAGAGATAAATGGGGAAGTGGAATTCAACAGTATTTTAGTACACATATCATCATGTTCTTTGCCTTCATAATATCTACCAATAAGCTTTTTGAAAGTGGAAATGAATTATTTTCTTCAAAGTTTATTAATTAATCATATCCTTTTTTCATGAGAGACTGATTATTTAATTTTAGTTATCAATGGGAATGTTCAGCTTCTTAATATCAGATTGAAGACATGTAAGAAAAAAAGTATTAATTAGTTTCTTTCCAAAAGGCACGTGGAAAAGGCAATTTAACCATCATAGGCAGGTAGAGGCCCTGGCTCTCACGTGGAATCTCATTATTGTCTTTCTTTTGCATGACTGTGATTTAAAACTCCACTATTCAGAAAGTGGCTCTGAGGCCAACACAAAATAAGATGGTCTCTCTGCCCTTGCCAGTGCTGAGGTCCCAGCATGACAGACCGTGTCACAGCTGCTGTGCTCTGGCACGGGTGCTGGCAGCTTTATCACCTCATGCACATTTAATGGGCATGGGGAGGGACTGTCCCTCTGGCTGCGCAAACACTGCTCCTGCCCCGGCACATGAGTATTTCACTCTGCATTAGCACCTGGCAGACTTGTTCTGTGGAGAAACGTGAACTTCGTTGCCCTTCCTGCCGTTTGTTCTTTATTTATTGCATTTAACAGTCTTTGGTAAAAAGACATCTTTTTGAAAAAGTTAAGACATGAATTAAGTTTGCGTGGCTGAGGCTGTCTGAAAGGAGAGCTGTGCTCGTGTGCATACGTGTGGGTATACAGCAAACAAAATAACAGAGAACTTTGACAGGACTCAGTAGAGATTCAGTATAGATTACTCTTCATTATAGATTAGTCCCATTATTAAAGAAACAAAATTACATTTTGAAATAATAATGCAAAAGCTTCAGAAAATATATCTGAAGAATTTTAGGTAGAGTGACGCACTTTAGTCACACAAATAGGCCAAGTTCTTTTCCAGAATATGCATGCACAATCACAAAGCTCGCAAGTTAGTCACCATGAGAAATAAGAATCTCCTTCTTAGGTCACTTAGAAATGAATGTGGAAATGCTGGTGTTCTACCATTAGAGAAAACTACCCCATCCAAGCCTGAGATGTCAAAGGCAAAAGATTAAGAATCTCTTTTCAAGTAGCTGAGTTTTCTAAGACAGAAAACTTAGTTATTGCAATAGGACAAATTTCAGCTTCTGGTACTTTTCCCCCATGGAATTAACCTGCATTACTGTTTCTGAAACAAAAATGCTTCACCAGCCAGAGGCTGAAACACTTTAAACATTTCAAACTGAAATAGAGAATCTGAAGATCAAAGAAAAGGTAGGAAAAATGGTTGCCTGGACAACATAAAAGCAAGCAAAGTCCCACAATGACTAACTCAGAAATCTCTCTAGACAACACCATAATACTCCTTACGTGGCATGTAGCCACGTAGCCAGATGTTGATTTGACTAAGTACATTCTTTTCTAAAGAGTGGTATCCATCTTCTGCCAAGCATGAGAGATGTGTGACTACATCTGTTCACTTCACTAAGGGCGCGCAGAGACATAGGACAGACAAAAGGGCGGCCATAAAATAAAATGTTAATTAGCACACGGGGTCCCAGATGAACCATGAGGGAGTCTGTGTTTCACAAGCCTTTACTGTTACCACAAGTGCTACTGCAGGCAATGGGAGAACTTGGTGTCAGTGAGGGAAAAATTAAATTAAGATTAGAATGTAAATTTGACCATTATTCATGGAACCTTAAATAGATGAAAACAATAAACATACACTCCGTGTCTATATATGTACATAAACACACACATGATGCTTGCAGGTGTGTGTATGCTTATTCTTATGTTTATCAGTTTACATAAACTTTTTGCCTCCAACTATTTCCCTTTATATAAAGCAAACTGGAAGACAGAAGTCCTTATGCTAAAGTTTCTCCATCAGTTAAATGCAAAGATTGAAGGAATATGAATGTAATGAACTGTGGACCTGAAATGAATATATTCTCATGGTACATTTCATGTGAAAGATTGAGGCAATTTTCACTAGTATCATTAAATAATGTGACACTTGTAGAGTTCACTCAGAGGTCTGTCTGAGACATACAAAACTCATCTATGAATAAATCCCTAGTTTTGTAGTTTGCAGCTGACTTCCCTCTGTGCTGCTTCATTCATTTAGGTTTTTGAGGCACCTGAAATACTCTCCTACTAGAGTACACTGGTAAAAGAAATTCATCATTTGCACATTGACAGGGGTAAACATGTTCTTTTATCAAAACAGCTTCAAAAGCTATTTCAGTATTATGTATATATGCACATATGCAAACACACACATAATGTGTGTGGAAGGCAGAGATTTCCTGGCTAAGACAAAGCTTTAAAGAGATTTGCTTCCAGCAACTTCAGTAGGCCAGCCAGCTCACACTGAATGCTATCATGCACGTCTACTGGGAAAGTCATGCTATACTGTATCAGGTATGATTAGCCACTGAGTTCTCAACAGTGAGACTGAGGAAGAGGGATACGATAAATGATAAATTAGTAATAACCTCTATACCCCTCTATCTAAAGGTAACAATAACTTTCTGCCAGAAGGAGACATGTAGTAAATGTAGCACCATAAGTTTGCTCTGATAAACTGATGCTTTAATGGTAGTTTCTGCACATTTTATCTTCATTGCATGAACTGGCAGCCACCTAAAAAGTTTTTCCTTCAGTGTTTTATGGCTTTTATGCAAATATTTGATGTTAATAGCTTCATTTTTTCTTAGTTTGCTTTCTATAGTTCTGCTGAGTTGCATTATTTAGTCATTAAAAATGAATAGCCAAAATAAAAATATTTCATATTAGAAACAATACTTAAAAATTAATGGTGTTTTAGTGAAACACTGTTTCCCATAATTTCATGAACACAGCAGAAACCTTATAAGGGTACAGTTAATCAGCTGAAGACAGCATTTATCTGTGCCCCTTCTGTCTTTGGTGCATTTGCTAGGAAGTCCCTATAGCTGTCGAAGCTACATAGGGTCACCCACAGAGTCCTGACAGCAGAAAAGTGGCTTAAAGTTGCTTTGCCCTCTGTGCCTCTCGGTGTGCTGCCAGATTGCCACACCAAGGTACTGCACACAACGTTCCCCTTGGGATCCACGGGCCTTTAGAGAATGAGGAAGCAACTTTCTACAAATTCTTGGTGCTTTGGACAAATTACAGTTTCAGTTCTGTTGCTGCATAATGACTGCAACTTCACTAAAAAGCTATTAAGTATACCCACCAGAGAACAGAAGAATAATGAGTCTCGATATTAAAAGAAAAAAGAAAAGAAAAGGGAAAAAAAAAAAAAAAAGCCCTAGAAAAGGAAAGGAAAACCCTACAGATGATACTAACTGCATTATGTAAGGCAGAGTCACACTTACCTGCTTGCTCACTGTTTCTCTTTTGCGGATGGCCTGTAAATCCCATTAGTCTCTTAAAATCAGCGAATCCAGCGCTCACAGTTGGACTCCCCCACTGGCAAAGTTAGGAAGCATTCAGGACATTCATTATGCATTTTAAGTGCCATGATCAATTAAAGATAGGGATAAGCAATCCAACATTAAGTCTCCTGAAGATTGCAAAAGTGGACTTAGATATTCATACCTAGAGTGGGAATGCTGTGTTAGGGTTTGTTCGCTCCTGAATGCTCTGCCATCATCATGACTGTATTTTTTATTCCCTTAAATTATATTCAGCTCACCAGAGAAAAACACAGCTGAGATTTCCCTCCTGTGTAGGCTTAGATAAAGCAAATTATGTAGTCCCTTATTTTTTCAAAGAATCAGCCTCAAATTCAATCCACTGTATGATTTTCAGGGAGTTTTACACATAATTACGAAAGCTTAGCTATTACCTTTTGGAAACAGTCCAATTTCCAGTCTTCATAAAAGTGCATGGTTACACTTTGCAGTTTTATAATTTCACTGAGGTAGACCCCTTTGCCACTGCAAGTCAGAATGCCAGTGATTGATTACTGAAATTCTCTCAAGTCCATAGTGAACATCAAACAAAAATGCATGTACCCTGTTGGTATTGATTTGGAACTGATGATCTCATTAGAAAGCCCTAATTCTCAACATTGCTTTGGTCTACAGAATCTTTAATTTATTTTTAAAAAGCTGATTGGCCAACTATTTCAGCCTCATGACTGTCATCCCTGTTTACTAGACAACTGCTTTAGTCTTTGAGCATTTAAAAGGTCATTAATCCAAATGCTAATGCAATCAATACTATATTAAATAACCTATAAAAAGTAAATTAATATTAGGTAACCTGATGCATTACACTATAAGGTTGTAAAATATGCTTACTGTCAGCATATTTAAAATGATAAATTAAAACTGTACACCTTTAAAAAAAATAATCTCAGAAAGCTCTAAAATTATTTTCTCCACTATTTAAACATTGATTCATAGTGAAAAGAGTGAGGAAAAGATATATTATTCATTTTTGGTTGAGTTAGCTTTTATACTGATGCCATTTTTCACAAAATAATACGTATGCAGAATTGAATTTAAAACACAAGTGAAAATCTTAAAGTTGAATGAGTCTGGCCTCAGAAACAGAACACATTTCTAATTTATTGTGGGTGGAGGTTGAGGCCCTGTTAACTGACTCTCTGGAAGGCAAGAGAGATCAGACTTGACACATACCTCTGTTTTAGACTGCAAACACACATTATTTACAAATATGTATTTTCTATTCTGAGAACATAGACCTCCCTCCAGCTAACTTACATAAGCAGGCTGAGATAGCCTTCATATTCACACCTTTCATACTTTGTCTGTGCTCTTAAACAGTAAAGTCTTCACAGGATTGTTTTGTTGTGTCTGTATTTGTACACATTCTGTTCATTAGGGTTCAATCTTAAGTGGCCAGAGGGGCTGGTATAATAATTTATGTCTCATTGTCTCATAGAGTTAGTAACATTCAGCCAGCATTTGCTTCATGTCTCAAAAAAAGCTATCAGTGCTTCGGATACATTTATTCTATGGGATTTCAAATAAAAAAAATTATTAAGAAATCAATATGTATCTATCTTTCAGCATCTATCCCTGTTACATCCTGTGGCTCTAAAACTGAGGTGTGAGGAAATGCATATTCACTTTCAAAAACCTTTGCCAATGACAACTAAGCAACTGCACTGTTAAAAACACTTTTGCTTTTGTCCTCAAAGAAAAATCCCGCACTAACCTCAGTGCCTGTATTTGCAGTCTCTGCCTACTTACATTCCCTCTCAGATTTACTTGCTGTAATCCAGGTCATTGCCCAAGAAGCTCTTTCTTCATCTTTGTGTTGGCCATTTAAACAATCAACATGTGCAATGGTATATCATGATTCCTTCAAAATGTCTCTGGCGGCTGATACTAATTTCAGCCTTTCTAATGCATGCTTTCTAAAACAAACAAGCAAAACCCAAACAAACCCAAAGAGCAAAGCCTTTCCAGGATCCATACCTGTCTTACCATCCCTGGCATTTGTTTTTCATGCACAGGTTGTACCAGCTTTAGGTTCTTTGTGCTCACCTTCACCACCATCCTGGATTTTTCATCAAATCTCTCAGAATAAATCTCTCAGGGTGCATTGCCAGCTGAAGCATCCACCTGGGGAATCTTTGGGGAACAAAAAAAGAGAAAGGGTCACGATTTGTACCCTCTAAGTGAAGACTTGCACCCTTGCTCCTGTAAAAATGCACAGAGGCTGCAGACTTGAGCACCTGGCCCTTTATCTACAAGCCTTGCACCACAGGACTGCTGTAGAACCACAATACAGCAAACACAGTGTGTGAGAAAAATTCTTAAGGAAAGAACATTGTGTTTAATTAAGTTGAAGCTGCCCTCTCAAAAATAATGCTGCACAGGTTATTGCTAAGCAATGGTGACAATCTTAAAAAATTAGAAATAGCAATACAAAAGCAGAGACTCATCCCAGTCCTGTCAAAACAAAAAACAATACAATACAGATTGATGAGAAATTACTTGCTGGAGAAAAAAACTAGTATTTCCTTACAAAATTCACTTTATATGCACTGTGTTGTTTGCTTGTGGTTGATATTTCCTTCCTAATCATTAGAAAAATTCTCTTTCAACAAAACTAAAGACCATAGGGAGAAAGAGTTGCGGAACAAATAGAAGGCCCAGGTTGAGGTTGATTACAGTTTATAAACCAATGCAAACAGCCTAATATCTGCTATTTCAGCATGAGATTATTGGAAGAAAGAATATTTTAACAGATCAAAGCCAGACTTCAGTGGATTAGCCTCTCACCAACTGGCAGCTGAGAGGATGACTGTGGCCAGCATCAGTGCAGGGGGATATTTATGCCTTAGAGAAGATTGCTAGTCCAACCTCGTCAGTACAGAGCGTTTTTAGTGGTGTACAAAGGTCTAGAAACTTCCTCTGTTCAGTAAAATATGAAAGGAAAAGGAATAATTGAACAGTCCTGTTTTTTATTTTTGCTCTGCAAGTACAAGACGTGAGGAACAGCAGAACCCTGCTAGCAGGCGGCCTGCAGGAACGGTCCGCAGGGCCTCGGCGGCGCGGCGCTCCGTGCGCACTGCTGAAATGGATCCCGCTGCTCAGAGGCCGCAGGCCCCAGCAGCAGCTCTGCATGTGCTGTAACTCAGCTCAGCAGCTTCTTAACTGAATTGATAAATGATGATAAACAGGGGGCTTTAAAAATAATTTTCCTTCATGGGGGAAAAAAAAAATCAATAAAAAGCCCATCGTACTTGGGTATGAAAACATTTCCTTTTGCTTTATTTTACTTATTTTCTTTTTCCTTGAATTTTTATGTTCCCTTGTGTCTTGTTTCAAGTATCTTGGATATTTTGCAACACTACCCACAGGGGATGCCGTAATGAGTACAGGGAGAACGTAACTAAGTGATGCGTAACAATGTAGTGCTAATTTGCAGGGTGAGTCATAAAAAGAAATTTTTAGAATAACACTGTGCAGGGCATAGAGGATCTGAAGTGACAATATAGAGAAGAATGGAAGTGCTGAGAATATTAGGAGATTACAAGGTACACATATTTCAAATTGAAGAGGTTAATTTCAGAGCACTTAAACACTGCTAGTCCTATCAAACTAAGTGTTGGGGTAAATAATAAACACAAATTGCAATGGAAACAGCCTTAGGTCATTAAGAGAGAACTACTTTGGCTGTATTACCATGATTCAAAGGGTGCTCAAAGTTGTGAAAGGATGAATGTTCAATTTACCTTCCCCAATAAATATCATCTTTCATCATATGCTCATCCAGAACAACCACCAAAAAAAAAAAAAAAAAAACCCCAAAAAAAACCCTTTTTTTGACAATTCCAAAAAAAAAAAAAAAAAAAAAAAAAAAAGATTATTAAACAGTTGTGAGTTTCTGCTATTTGACAGACATCTGGAATGAAGACTTTCAATGGTTAATGTATTTGCATTATTATTTTTTGAGTGAAGTCATTCAAAATGGAGGAATGACGCTCCTAAAATTGAGTGCTGCTGCAAGGCAGTATCTCATTACACTCCTAATGCTGAACAGCATGCTGGAAGAATACAAGTTACTCTGGGAATATTTTCAATTTCCTTTTTCTTTTTTTTATTTTTTTTTCCAGAAGATTCAACTGACATATCTAAAAAAATAATGAAGCCTTAGCACTGTCTCAGAGATGACAAATATCAAAGTGAAATGTACACAAAGCTTTGTTCTGTTTTCTGTCCTTAAAAATGTGCATTTTGTTCCCCAGGTTTGTCAGCTACCCCCATCACACAAAGTGCAGGACTTCATCAAGTGTAATAGGAACAGTTACAAATGAAAATGATTGTTCCCTAGTGTTCAGCAAATGCTGAAAACACCTGTCACTATTGCTGTCTCCCAGGGGACACTAAGGGTTAAAAGATATCACGGGCAAATTCGGTCTATTGCAAAGAAAAAGTTTGACTCTACAGGGAATAAAAATGTCCCAAGCAACATATTTGGATTTGTGTTTTACCACAGGTAAAAGTTTGATTCAGTTAAAATACTGGTTCTAAATAAAATCATTTAAAAGATATATTAATTTTAAGCATTACTTTAAAAAAGAATTATAGTAAATTTCTAAATCCTTACAATCCCAAATATAGCTTATTAATACTACCACTTGTGTACAAAAAGACATCAATAAAACAGAATGACTGGAATTGGACCAGGAAAGACAGATTTCCAAATGGAAACACTGGCATATCCTGGCACAAGAGTGTAAGGAGGTCTTGTAATATTGGTTTTCTGCCTGTTTAGTAAAGAAATATTTCTTGTATCTTTTCACTTCTATTGCATAATGATTATAGGCCAAACCTTATTTTAATGAAATAGGCAGAATATACAGTTCCTCCCTGCTCATTTGGTGTCAGATGTTCTTAGAAAAACAGATCTTAGTATTTACCTGATGCCACGAGAAGAGGTTCTCTCTAATTACAAGTATACAAGGGTATTATCTGTAGTCTTCATCTCTTCTACTACACCCAAAAACAACTGCTAGAAAAAAACTGGCCCCTAAGTGATTTTTAACAGCCCTCATCAAATGCCAGTTTAATATCAAAGTTTTGCAATATGTTAATATTCTGACAAACGCAGAGACAGTCTTTACTATGAGTTTATCTTAAAAGAAATGCAAGGAAGGATTAACTTGATTATTCTTCAGAAGAAAGAGAATATAATTTCTAATACACTCCTGGTGAGGGGGAAGAGGAAAGCAAGCATACCACACATTACAATGACTTGAATGACTTGACAGCTGTTAGCTAAACAATACAACATTAATTTTCCACATTTTTGCACATGTCTGGGTGAGAGATCCCTTAATCCCAGTTCCCATTCTACTTCTGCCTCATTGTTGCTGTCTGCTTTTGTGTCACTTATTATAATCAGTTTTTGCTGCATACTCCCTTTCACC